CTGGTGTGGCATTGAACAACAATGACAGCGCTCTTCCTGTGAGGGCAAGATCCCAGCAAAAGGACAGAGAACATTTCCCAACGTGGGGAGCATTAGAGTTCCCCTTCCCTGGTGGACCCACATTAAAAATCAGTGTTCAAACACTCAGATTCAGAAGGAAAAAGGCCACCTACCTCTCTTGTTGGGACGAGTACAAGTGCATAAGGGCCATCACTGCGCTGCAAACACACAAGGTCAGGTCCTCTAAGAATGCAGCACTGAGAAACAGAGCCCTTCCACACCTCACAGCTCTCAGACAACACAGACAGTTCTGAAGGGCTTTAGTACAAGTTTGTACACAACATTTTAGGGTAATTCCCACCTCACAGATTTTTTAAAAAATCAAGTCTTTCACCTATCAATCCTGTATTGGCTTCTCTTCCCTCCTGGGAACCTGCTCACAGTCAAACCCAACATTTTATTCCACACACACATTGTTTCACTTTTGTATTTTCTGAGCTGCATAAACACTCTATTTGATTCACAGCAACAACCCACAGGTAACACCTGCAGAAAGTAACTACCTAGGATGGCTTGGAAACACTTCCACCTGTAAGTCAGGATGATCTCTATCCATAAAAAGATGGAAGACCTGCAGCAGCATTTCCTGGTCAACCAGATGATCCAAATTGGGAGCAACTATCAAATCTCACTCCACGTCAAAGACTAATTAATCTTAAAGACAAGGCAGTGAGCTCTGTTTTCAGTTCTCCCAACCTCCAGACCGTTGTCTCTCCTGCACTCTACCTTCTCTAAACCTGATAATTCAGCCTATTTGCAGTTTACCCTGCTCCAAGGAGCAATGGGGAATGAGTGACATTGATCTTGGATCAGCTGTGTCTCAAGGGAACAGGAGGGTCACACACATCACATGCACAAATAAAGAGGAAGATACACTGATTGATCTCTACATCAAGAAGAGACAGTAATGACTACAAGAGCTGGATTTTGTTTTTATTAATCTTATTATCAAAAGCAAATATATTTAATTCTGTTGCACCTACCTGTATTTTGGATTCCATTCCTTGCAAAGACTGTACAAGTGGAATCCCATAGGCAAGAGTTTTACCTTTTTGAAAGGGAGAAAATCAGAAAACTTTCCATCAAAAGAAAACCACGTGGCAATTACAGCACTTCAGCAAATTAAAGCACCATTTGTCCCACCATTCTTAAACTGCATTCAGAGCCTGGCCCCCACCAGCCTTCCCAGCCTGGCACTGTATGAGCTGTACTGGGAATGTGAGGTTTAAATTCTGCATTTGGGATCCAGTTAAAATGCCCTAAGGAAGGAGAGTGACAATTCAATACTGACCTGAGCCAGTCTGAGATCTCACCAGAGCATCTCTGCCTTGCAGGAGCACAGGAATTGTTTGCTTCTGAACACTGTGTGAAAAACCAAACAGGTGAGGAAATGTAAATGAGACAGAGGATAGAATCCATCAGCTTTCCTATGCAATTTGTTTCCCCCAGATTCCACACATTCATCTCTGCTGTGTGGCTACATCAGTTGAGGTGATTTCCAAGCAAAGCCATTAGACAGGCATCAGATGTGATCAATTCAAATCAGGTTTTATGATTCAAGGACCAAACTAGAAGGCAGGACTCCCAGGTTCCACCTTCAGCTGTGACCTGCTGTGTAACCAACAAGCCATTTCCCATCCCAAACTTTGGAAGCAACAAACCCCAAAGCAAATGGGACATCAGGCACTGTGGTCTTCACAAACCAATTACATATAATGAAACAATCACAGATGATTGGTTTTAATGGGTAGTGAGGCACAAAGATTTTATATTAATTTGCTTACCTGGTCATGCTACTTATGTTCAGGACAGTGTTTATGGTGGAGATCTAGGGAGACAACAAAGAGCAGTAAAGGTTTAATTCTCAAACTGTTCCTTTTGTCATTTTTTTGCAGTACAAAGGCAAAAACTAGAAGACTGATATTTATTCTCTATATAACTGGTACAGGGCAACCAAATATAAAGTTCTCATGTCCTTGAAGTTCTTCTAATTAATCAGAATTACACCACTGCTGGTTTTCTGGGTTTTTTTGGTATAACAGCTGCAAGCAGTGAAGGTGCTGGGACTGTGTTTGGGTCAGGTCAGGGGCCAGCACCTTGAGCTGAGAGACTGCAACAGAATCAGGTGAAGTACTGGCAATCCTGCCCAGGTCACCACAAATAAAGGTGCCTCTCTCAGCTCTCTGATCTGTTCCCCACCAAAAAAATCATGTTTTGAGCTGTGCAGCCTCCCTGCCACTCACCAGATGAGGATGGAGGTCCAACTGGCTGAAAGAATCCGTAGTGAAAACATTTTCTTGCACCTGCTGCACTGCTTTTCTGAGCCAGGGGAAACAAAGCAAACAAAGCACACAGTGGGGTTAAAAATTATACATCAGCATTCTACACAAACAGCAAAGAAACTACAGTACCAAGCAAGGGCAAGAATTTGAGACACTGACTATCAAGGCATTGAAAGTGGTTTTTTTTCCCTCCTATTTGTCTCAAATACCTGTGAATTTCTGGGATATCTGGGTTGTTTTTGAACAGGCTGGATGTCTTAATGAAAGGTCTGCTCTTCTGGCTTTCATTTCGGTTGTCAGTCAGCTGCTTCTTGGGAACTGGCTTTTGTGGTGGATTCCCCTTCCCCCTCCTGTCAGCCTCTGTGGCACCTTTCCTGAAGGTGTTCAGGGATGGTTTCCGTTGGCGTTTCTCAGGTGGGTTTCCATGTGGTGACTGGAGCTTCCTCTTCAGAGCACCGGGTTGCTTCAACATGAACAAACAAACCAGAGTCATTAATGACCGACAATTAACAACGTGATATCCCGGTGAGCACAAACACCAGCCCACAGAGGCCTTTTTTTTGGAATTTCCCACTCCATGATTAAAGAAATTAAGTTTGACTTTTGCAGCTGCACAGTTGCTACTCCAGTAGATCCACCACCATGTCTGGGATTTCTGACACTTTCAAAAATCTGAAGTCAAATCTAAGTGCTCTTCCCTAAAGGATTTCATCCAGCTTCTCCAGTGACTGAGCAGAACATGCTTTAAAAAACTTCTCTCTCAAGCTCTGCAGACCTCCAGCCCACATTAAAGCCATGCCTGTAGGATTCCCTCTTTCTGTGGGCACAAGGGATGGCCTGGACTTCTCTCCAACTTATGCTTCTGCCAACTCTCAGCCTTTCTGAGCTCTTGATTTCTTCTTCTGCAGCTGATCTTCAATCACCTAAGAAAAGCTTTTGCTCTCCCCATATCCCTCCAGGAACAGTGAATTAGCAAATTAAACTTCATTTGGTCCCAAAGCTCTTCAGTGTCCCCCAGCCCTTTTTCAATGAACTTGTTCTTCCCCATCACAACTGCAAAACTCCTAAAACATGTGAGATACCAGCAGAATCTCATCCCATTTTCCCCCTCTCTCTTCCTCACTCTGAGTTGCACTCTTTTGTCTTCCCACAAACCACACTGTTCTCAAGCTCTCTTATTTTTTTAAACTTATTTCTTCACATGTTGGGCAAACAACCAAAACCCAACCTCCTTCCACCAACGATCACCATCAGGAAAGTGGGGGTGCCCTGTCTCAAAGCACCTGATACAATAAGGACAAATCCTGTCACTCCCTTTACTCACACACCCTTAAGCACAGTATTTTAAGAAGAATTTTAAAATTCAGAATAACAACTGAAACAGCCCAGAACCACTCTAACAACAACTTTAAAACCAAAAACGTGTATTTAATCCGTTCTTACGCTCCTCTCCTCAAAACAAAGCACCTATTCTTGCAGCTCACAGCACACCAACAATTAGAAAATTTCTTGAAAGTATAAGACTTCCCCTCTCTGGCAGCATTTTAAAGCATCCCGGGATGAGGCAGAGAGAGCTGGGGGAGCATCACCCACGGGCCGGTAACAGGTGAGGGCAGGGCTGGGCTGTCCCCCCGCAGCCCACCCGCGGGGCTCGGGCGAGCTCGGACCTGCCCGACCCCGAAACCGCGACCCGGGGAGCCCCTGCGAGCCTCTGCTGCGGGATCGGGCTCGAGGGGTGCGGGGGGACCCAAAAGCCCCATTTAACAACTTGTCGGACGCTGAGCCCCCGATCCCCGGGGCCGGTCGGGGTCCCGTGTCCTGTGTTTCATGTCCCGCACAGTCCCGTGCCCCGCAGTGTCTCACGTCCTGTATCCCAGAGTGTGCCGTATCCCCTGTCCCGCAGAGTCCCATATCCCGCAATGTCCCACGTCCCGCACAGTTCCCACGCCCTGCGTTCCGTAGTGTCCAGCAGTGTCCCGTGTCCCGCACTGTCCCGCTCCCTCACGCCCGTCCCGCTCCCCGCTCGTACCGCGACGATCCCGCGGCCCCCGCTCGCACCGCCGCCATGTCCCTCCCTCTCCTGTCGCAGGCCCGAGGCCCGCCCTCGCCCGGCCGGATCGTGAAAGCAGGACGGGCAGCGAAGCCGGGTCCCCTCCTGTGGTAACAGAAGCCCCTCCCATCAGCCACTCCACCCCTCAGCGCCGCGGGGGAGCTCGGGTCTCCCCGCTCCCCCTCCACTCGCGTACCGGGCCCGCGGGGGCGCGCAGGCAGAGGAGGGGGCAGCCCCGGCCTGGGCCCGCCCGGGGGGGCCTTCGTCGGCCGGCGCGTGCGCGTCGGCCGCGAGAGGCGGTGGCAACATGGCGGCGGCGCGGGAGGAGCCGCCGCTGAAGGCCTCGAAGGTGGTGGCGGCGGAGGAGGCGGCGAGCGGCGGCGAGCGCCGCGGTTCCGACCTCACGGCGCGTGCGGCGGGAGCCCGCGTGCGGCAGGGGGGGGGGGGGGGGGGGGGGGGGGGGGGGGGGGGGGGGGGTGCAGCACGGTCGCCAGCGGCCTGGAGCCGCTGGCGTGGGTCCGAGACCACCGGGTGTCGGTGAGCACGGCCCGCAGCAATGGCGTGCCTTTGGAGCAGCTCAGCGACGTGCACAGCCGGGCGGGCAGGACATGGTCATCCACCGCACCGCCGTGCCCGCGCCCGCCACCGCCTGCCTGCTCAAGGTGAGCGCCCGGCACGGCCTCAGTGGCACCTTGTTAGTGTGTGTGAATATATAAAGGGGGGGGTGTGGTGCCACGGGGATGGAGACGGGGGTTGGACATCAGGAGGGATTTCTGCACAGAAAGGGTCATTAGACACTGGAAGGGGCTCCCCAGGGAGGTGAAGGAGACTCCGTCCCTGGAAGTGTTTAAGGAAAGAGTGGATCGTAGCACTTAGTGCCATGGTGGTGTTGGGTCACACGTTGGACTCGATGATCTCTGACGTGTTTTCCAACCTAATTGATCCTGTGATTTTGCTTTGTGTTGCCAACCACATGGACACGAGGCAATGGGCAGAAACTGGTGCCCCAGAAGCTCCACCTGAACACGAGGAAGAACTTTTTCACTGTGCAGTGACAGGAACAGGTCGCCCGGAGAGGGTGTGGAATCTCCTCACTGGAGATATTCCAGAGCCACCTGGACACAATCCTATGTCACGTGCTCTGGGATGGCTCTGCTGGAGCAGGGAATGGAACAAATGACCCACTGTGGTCTCTTCCAGCCTCACCCATTCTGGGATCCTGATCCCCCTCCTGGGGAGCCACCACAGAGCTGCCCCTTCTCCACACAACTTCCTGCAGGATCTCATGTGTCGATGTGTTTTAAAAGCAGAGGGGAGAAAAAAAACCTATCCCAGTGACGTCCAGGGGAAATGTGATCCAGTATTGAGGAGGTTTCAGGGATTCTAAAGTTCTGTGGTTTTTCTAAGAATCACTTGAGCTCCAGTGCAGTTACTTCAGTAAAATTTAAGTAGGAATCTTCCTTAGTTTGCTGCCTAAGCTGAAGGATTTTTGCAGCAGGGGTTGCTTTGTCCTTCAGAGGAGTACCTGATTTTTTACAAAGTTGGCAAGTCTGGGTGAATATTTTATTAAATAATAATTCTGTTATTGTGGATCTGGTTTCGTGTTCTGAAACAATGCTAAGAACATGGAAGAGTTGAAATACTGAGTGCTTTACACTTTAAATATTATACAGCAGTATGAAAACAGGCTCTTTGATTCAGCAGAGAAAAAAATTCAATAGCTGAGAGTCAAAACAATACAAATTCCTACAAGTTCATCAGGGCATTAATGAGGCTGAGATCTTTAGGAGTGACCTTAATTAACCATTGCATCAACATAGGGTAGGTTGTCATAGGGGATGCTCTGTTTCAAGTGGGAATTAATTCCAAGAGAGCATTGCTAAAAAATTAGTTGTACAATCGTTTTAATAGTTCTTTTTGTTGTCTTGTAGGTCGGCCCCAAAAAGGAGGTGGCTGAGTGCAAGGAGAAGTTTGCCAGCTCCGTGGATCCGACCGTGAGCCAGACGTTCATGCTGGACCGAGTGTTCAACCCCGAGGGGAAGTCCCTGACACCCATGAGGGGGTTCAAATATTCCAGCTGGTCCCCTCTGGGCTGTGACGCCAACGGGAGGTGCCTCCTGGCCGCCCTGACCATGGACAACCGGCTGACCATCCACGCCAACCTCAACCGGCTGCAGTGGGTGCAGCTGGTGGACCTGACCGAGCTCTACGGGGAGCGCCTGTTCGAGGCCGGCTACAAACTCTGCAAGGCCGACGCTCCCTGCGGGGAGCTGGGCGACTTCCCGGAGTTCCAGCGGCGGCACAGCATGCAGGCCCCCGTGCGCATGGAGTGGTCGGGGACCTGCACCACCCAGCAGGTCAAGCACAACAACGAGTGCCGGGACGTGGGGAGCGTGCTCCTGGCCGTGCTCTTCGAGAACGGCAACATCGCCGTGTGGCAGTTCCAGCTCCCCTTCCTGGGGAAGGAGTCCATTACTTCCTGCAACACCATAGAGTCCGGGATAAGCTCCCCCAGCGTGTTGTCCTGGTGGGAATACGAGCACAACAACCGGAAGATGAGCGGGCTGATCGTGGGCAGCGCGTATGGCCCCGTTAAGATCCTCCCCGTCAACCTCAAGGCGGTCAAGGGCTACTTCACACTCAGACAGCCCGTGGTGCTGTGGCAGGAGATGGACCAGCTGCCCGTGCACAGCATCAAATGTATCCCCCTCTACCACCCCTACCAGAAGTGCAGCTGCAGCTTGGTGGTAGCTGCAAGGGGCCCTTACGTGTTCTGGTGCCTCCTGTTGATCTCCAAGGCGGGCCTGAAGGTCCACAATTCCCACGTGACGGGGCTCCACTCCCTGCCCATCGTGTCCATGACGGCGGACAAGCAGAACGGCACGGTGTACACCTGCTCCAGCGACGGGAAGGTCAGGCAGCTCATCCCCATATTCACAGACGTGGCTCTGAAGTTTGAGCACCAGCTGATCAAGCTCTCGGAGGTGTTTGGCTCCGTCAGGACTCATGGAATTGCTGTCAGCCCGTGCGGGGCGTACCTGGCGGTCATCACAACCGAGGGCATGGCCAACGGGCTGCACCCCGTCAACAAGAACTACCAGGTTCAGTTTGTCACCCTCAAAACCTTCGAGGAGGCGGCTGCACAGCTCTTGGAATCTTCTGTCCAGAACCTTTTCCGGCAGGTGGACCTGACGGATCTTGTGCGCTGGAAAATTCTGAAGGATAAGCACATTCCTCAGTTCTTACAGGAGGCACTGGATAATAAGATTGAGAGCTGTGGTTCCACTTACTTTTGGAGGTTTAAGCTGTTTCTCCTGAGGATTTTGTATCAGTCCATGCAGAAAGCTCCCTCAGAGGCCACGTGGAGAGCTTCACACGAGGATGCCAAAATCTTGATCTCGGATTCCCCTGGGATGGGCAGCACTGAGGATGATCAAGAGGAAGGAACTTCAAAACAAGCCAGCAAGCAAAGCCTGTGTGACACAGGCAAAGGTGTGGACTTAGATGACACTGCAGAGGATTCTCTCCATCAGTCAAGTGACACTGGAGGGCGGGAGCCAATGGAGGAAAAACTTCTTGAAATACAGGCCCAGATTGAGGCCGTGGAAATGCACTTGACACGGGAACACATGAAACGGGTGTTGGGAGAAGTTTATCTACACACATGGATTACAGAAAACACCAGCATTCCCACCAGAGGAGTCTGTGACTTCTTAATGTCTGATGATGGCTACGATGACAGAACGGCACGAGTAAGTGACCTCTGTGCTCAGGGGATTCCATGTTAGGAGTTATTTCCTTCTCCCCCCTCCTGAACATACAGCTGGGGTGGGAAAGAGAAGTGCAATCGTGTCATCCTTACCAGTCAGCTCCTCCTCATTCAGGTTAAATTGTCCTTCCTTCAAGCTGTGGGGTAGGAAGGAATGTAAATACAGATGGTGCATTTTGGATCAGGTACAATAAAGAATAATCGTGCCTGAAGTTTGGCAGCACAAGGGAGAGGACCAGGGTTGTTCTGCTGCTCTCAGTGACTTAAAACATGTACCAATTAAGAGAGATGTTTGTTTTCATGACTGAGCTTATTTAATCTATCATCTCTGCAAAACTAAACTTTGGATGCATTTCCTCTAGTCAGTTATGCTGCAGTTCCAGTTTTAAGAGCTGCAGAAGTATCATTTCTGAAAGTATCTATAATTGAGCTCTGTGGTTGTTCAGGTGGTACATCAGGTCTTGGCATTGCTCCCTGAGCCTTCAGTGGAAGGATCAGCTCCAGAGGTTGAGACAGGTGGGAACACTGCATCAGCCTCCTGGCTCTTAAGACTCAATGACAAGAAAGGTTCAGGTGTCTCTGTGCCTCTGTGTGTGAGCAGAGAACAGTTCTTTTTCAGTCCCTAAGTTCTTAAATCACTTGAACTCTAAAAATCAGCCTTTACTTTGCATCCAGAAGGACAGGGGAAGGAAGCACATGTCCATTACTGATGTATGTGGTGTTCTCCCTGCTGGAATCACAGGCAAGTGTGGCCATCAGTAATTCACTGGGAAAGTATTCTGGCACAACTGCTGGGTTGTTACAGCATCCAGTTATTATGAATTGAAGGTTTGAGAGGTTGATTTTCTTCTCTTAGAAACAAGATTCTTGTTTTATAATCATTAAAAGCTGACTTCTAGATTGTATTTTATCTGTTCAGTTTGCTGTCACACTGTAAAGATCCTTAGGATATGGTTTGTATCTGTTGAAACATCAGAGACAAATTTGATCACATAAATGTTCCACTATACTCCAAGCTGGCTGCTAAGGACATGCATCCATTTCTGAACAGGAATTATTTTTTAGCACATCCACTGTGATAGTCATGAGGGAAAGCATTGCTGTAATGGTCAGTGGTGTAATACCAGTTCCTTCAGTACTTATAAAATAGCTTAACATTATTGCTTTTCAGGTCTGTGTCCCTTTACTGTGGGACAGAAATCTTTGGGAGATGACAACACGAGGAGAATAAATGAACACTTAGTGGTGTGTTACGTTTCTTACACCTTCATTTCTTTGAATTCAGTGCAATTCCTCTATCATGCTCTGAAACCACAGTACCCTGGGAGGCATTTCCACCCCTCAGCTGTGTTCCTATAATCCCTGCTGACTCCTGTGTGTTCCAGGTGCTGATTGGGCACATCCTGAAGAAAATGAACAAACAGACGTTCCCGGAGCACTGCAGTTTGTGCAAAGAGATCCTGCCCTTCACCGACCGCAAGCAGGCCGTGTGCTCCAACGGGCACATCTGGCTCAGGTAACGGGCTCTGCAGGAGGTTTTACCCTCCTCTGGATCATTTAAACATGCTTTAAGAGTTCACCTAAACTGCTTGGTAGTGTTGGAGTAAAAACTCACAAAACATGTTATCTGTGCTGCAGTGTTTGCTGGCTGTTATTTGTCCTCTTCCATGAGAGAGAGAGGAGGTTGGATTGGTTCCTTAACAATACAGCATTTTTATAATAAAATGCTTTTTGATCATCTTTTTTTTTTTTTTTCCACGTGGGGGAAGGTGAGGACAGGGAAAAAGCAAGCAAGGGCAAATTAAGGACAACTCATCCTTTGTGGAACATCAGGTGAAGGAGAGTGTATTCTGGCTCCTTCAGTATTTGAAAACAAAAGCAATTTAACAAAAAACGGTTGAAAACAGGCACACTGAGAAGTCAGACAAGTTCTGGAACATCTAGAAAATTAAATCTTCCTGTATGGGGTTCACTGAGATTGTCCCTGAAGCCTTGGCAAGACAGTAGTCTGTCACAAAGATAAAACTTTGCCTAACTGGTACTATGTGCTACTTTGGGTAAATATTCATGGCCTTAAGGAGCCTCAAGCTTTTCACCTCCTCTCCTGCATGCTAAAAATTTTTTGGCCAATGATGAAGCCTTTTTCAGTGGTATATTGATAAAATGCCTTGTCCTTCCACAGGTGCTTTCTGACCTACCAGTCCTGTCAGAGTCTGGTGTACAGGAGGTGTTTGCTTCACGACAGCATTGCACGGCACCCAACCCCAGAAGGTAAACTGTCCTTGGCAAAAGGGGCAGGATTAGGTGTTTTTAACTTTCATCTGCAAAATGTCTTGAATTAGTTTCATTGGCTTTTCTCTTTCAGGCAGTTACCATGTGAAGCTCTAGTGCTCTGCATTTCACAGTGTCCTGTTGTCTGACGTGTTAATTACTAATCAGTGACTGCAGAAATTGATGTATAAATCCACATTTTAATGAGAGCTGGGTAAACACAATCTGTGCTGGAATGCTACAGCAGTTAGTTTATATTCAGGTTGAATATATTAGCATCCAGTTATGGAAGAGGGACAAAGAAACAGGAACCAAGGACTGTTATGTGAAGGATCTAATTTCAGTTTAGAAAATGAGAACAGTACATTTGTGCCATAGTGAACCTTTAAATTTATTTCCTATATAGGTATTTAGATGAGTGTGTAAGGATATAGCACAGACTGTTTCACCTTCATTTTGTCTCCTGCTGAGGTGGAATTTAAACTGGCATTGCTTAAAATTTCAGAACAGAAATGGAGTTGGATTCCTCTGAATTCTCAGCTACTCCTGCATGGTGAATATATACAAACTGTTCAGGATTCCTCTTTGTGCATCTCAGGTGTCATTCCTCTGTTCACCTCTACCCCCAGCTTTGAACAACTTGTTTTCTTATTTGCAGATCCTGAATGGATCAAGAGGTTATTGCAAGGACCTTGCACGTTCTGTGACTCTCCTGTGTTCTAGAGAAAAGCTCTGCAAAGACTGAAAGCATTTTCTCTACTCCATAAGCTCCCTTCAGCCTTGAAGGACACAGAGCAGAGGAACACAGACTCTGCCAGAGGGACACCACCTCATCCACAGCCCTGTACATAGAACATCGGAGGTTCTGGAAACTCCTCAAGTCCAGAGCCCATTCCATGCTCCAGAAACAGGAGTACACCTGGAAGAGCCAGTTTAAAAGAGGTTTGGAAGAGCACCCTATGGAAGGCTCAGCAGCTGGACACTGACAACTGAAGTGTTGAGCACAGTGTGAACTGTCCTTTCTGCCCTACTGTGTCATTTCCCAAAAGCTGGGACGGGAACATGGAGCTGCCTCTGGAATGGTCCTGGTGGGTAGAGAAGGCTTCAGCTTGTAGTGCTCCCTTTGCTTTTTAACAAGCACTGGCACTTGCTGCAGAATATTAAACTGTCAAAAGAATTTGTGGCTCCAATTCCTTGCTGAGTGAAGCACGTGCCAGTTACAGCCACAGGAAAGAAATTGGCCATTCCAGCAGTTCCCCTTAAAGTCTAGAAGAGTAACTGCCTCGTAACTGTTGTAACACTATTGAAGTCAGGAGGGGGATATTGGCTGCCTGGGTCAAATAGGGATCAGTAAAAATAATTTTTAAATGTAATAATTATTAAACTAATAGCAATTAGATTAAACACTAATAATATATATAATTTCCAATGCTCTTTAGTCTCTTACCCCACTTTCTTTTTCTGAACTAACTCCTTCCCAGCTTTTGCCAATGTATTTGCCTTTGGCTTCACTTAACCCTCTACCAACAGGAATCATCTTTTCCAGTGTAACTCAGTTACCAAAAACATTACTAATTTACCTTATTTTCAATTAAATTGCAAGTCTCCCTTGCAGGAATTGAATTTTACACAAGTCTGACACACAAGCAATCACTCCCAGCTGACAGTTTCTCTTTTCACAGCAACACAGTAAAAAACCCCAAACAAAGAGAACACCCCAAACCAAACCCCCACCATGGCTGACACGTTCTAGGTAAGGCCAAGGAGGCTGGTGAAGCTACTCATGGATCACAGAATGGTTTGGGTTGGAAGGGACCTTTAGGATCATCTCAATTACCACCCCCTGCCCATGGGCAGGGACTAAAACCTCTCCACTAGCCCAGGTTGGCTCCAAGCCCTGTCCAACCTGGCCATTGGACACTTCCAGGGATCCAGGGGCAGCCACAGCTTCTCTGGGCAACCTGTGCCAGGGCCTCTCCACCCTCCCAGGGAAGAATTTCTTCCTAATACTCAATCTAACCCTGTCCTCTGTGAGTGTGAAGCCATTCCCCCTTGTCCTGTCTCTCCAGGCCCTTGTAAATAGTCTCTCTCCATCTTTCTTGTAGGCTCCTTTAGGATAAGTCTGACTCCCTCATCCAGAGATTCATAAACACACCAATGATGTAGAGTGGCTGAGCCCAGACATTTATTTTGCCTTCTGACTGTCCTATCAGAAAAAACATCTCTCTCTCTTTGCCATCTGTTCCTACCAGGAGCAGGAGAATCTTTTTCAACTTCCTATGCAGTGTTAGAGGAATAACACCTCCAAAACGTGTCTGGTTACCTGGTACAGTTTGTCTTGTTAACTTCAATCCATTAACTGTCAAATAATCCTGAGTTTATGTATTTCCATTCTGCAGAGCATCAGTGGCAGAGGTGTCGCCCTGTTTGTGATTCCTGACACTTTAACTGTGTGGGAGGTGCTCTACAGCTGTTGAGAAATCATGGAATTGTCCTGACAGCATCAGTCTCCCAACAGTGCATGTGTGATTGGTGCTTGGTTCCTCGATTCAATGACTATGCATATTTTGGTAACGTTCCTTCACCTTCAGTAGGAACGAGTTTTTGTTCAGCTCACATTAAACAAGTCAGCTGTCCTTCTGTTCAGTGTCTCATGCATAAGCATGATTGTGCTGAGAATAATATTACTACAGTAGCCTAGAACAGCAGAAGCACATTCATCTGTAAAATAATTAGCCTCGTTTGTAAATATCCTTGGAAGTGGTACCATAATTGTATTAAAGAAATGTTTAGTTTTTTATTGCTGTGCATTGAAAATTGAAATTACTTCAGTGTGTCTGCAAAGAAAGGAAATGTAGCTCGTGATGGCATCCAGTAAAACACAGAGTAACCTCAATACCCAGTGTGTGTGGAGTCTGGGGCCAGCTCTGGGACCTGGGACAACACTGGTCTCCTTCCCAGTGCTGATGGGGCTTGAGGGGAATAGAACATTCATTTCCAGCATGAGCTGAACAGGTGGTTTACTTGTGGTGCTTGAGAAAGTATTCTGAGTGGAAGCTGCAAGTCCTTGCCCTGACAGTCGTGACCTGCTCATCAGTAAATGTTCCAATTGAGAAACTCTCCTGCCTGTGGAAAAGGGGAGGGAGCTCTGCAGAACCACGTCAGTGCTCTTAGAAAAAGTCAAAGGTCACTTCTTTGATAGTGGCTCAGAAACCATAAAAACATCCTGATCTGCTGAAGTGTTTTCAGTCTGGCTGACCCAAAGGTTCAGCATGATAACAGATCAGATTGATTCCTGGTGATTACTTCTGGAACTCTTGAATTTCCCTGGATTGAGTTTTAATGCTTTCCCATGTAGAAGCTTAGCACACCTCACATTAATGGGGCGGCATTAATGTTTATTTTCCTTGTCTCTCAAGGCAGTAAATACTCAGTCTAGCATTGCCAGTTTATTTAACCTGGTTTCAGACTGCAGGGAGAGGGGAATTTTAAAGCCCACAATGTCAGCTTTGCATGCCAGTGGCGATCCTTTGGCACGAAGCTTTCACTTCTCACCTGACCCATTCACAACAGTACACAGGAATTGTGATTTCATTTTTGTTTAAACCAGCACTCATCCCTCAGTGCATTTTTAACCAGCACAGGCTGAAATAGCAGAGCCCACCTCAGGCAGTAACATTTAACCCCTGGTGCTGCTCTGACGGGGTTTTTTTGCCCAGTGAGCAGCTGAGGCTGCTGCAGGAGACCTTTTGCCTCCTGGACTCATGATGTGCAGTTCTGGGAACACAGAGGTTAGTCCCATTCCTGGAGCAGTGTAACAACCCACACACTGTCCTAATCAAACCTCTTGCCTTCATCCCATGGGAAAGGCAAACTGGAGCAAGGTGGGAGCACCTGCTGCCAGATCCTCGTGCTATTTTGCCACTAATGGAGTTGCCTCCCCAAACTAACACATAGCAGAGACACAAGGTGAAGTGTTGCAAGAAGAAATCCCACAGAATCAGGGAGTTTATCTCACTGTGGTTTTGCCTAAGTTTTGCAGGATATTTCAAACAAGTGAATAGTTGAAGGTTGTCCTCAACTACTTCACCATTTGGTGGTGAACACTGGCTGTTCATGATGCCTCATCTCCAGAGGGAGAATCACACCAGCAGACACTGAGGGTTCCTGATGCACTGCTGCTTTTTTTTTTCCTAAAGGATTGTGGTATTTGCTCTTGCAGCTGAGAATTAATAGCCAAAGATTCTGTTCTGTATCCAAAGCTAACGTGTCACTGTCCTTGATGAGCAGCTTCTGATAGCATGTGAGATTTGCTACTGACACTGATAACAGAGTTTATCCCTCCTCCACTGGGATGAAGAAATCCAGGCTAATCCAGGTTTGATGGATAAGCAGAACAGCTCTGGATTGTACAGTGTCTCAGTGCCTTGGTGCTGGATGCCATTCTTGGAACGAAGGTGGGAGTTTGGGGTCATGAGGACTCAGTCTTGTCTCCAAATTACACCCGCTGCTCTGGAAGTGGTGACAGGGGACCTCATTGCTGCCTTTTACCTCAATTCAGCTCTGGGTCAGCAGCTTCATCATTCAGTCACCCTTTCCTTTTGTGTGTTTCCTCATCCTATTAATCCTGTGGCATATTTCTAGAGAGGAAATGCTATGGTTGCTAATGCACAAAGACAATAAGTATCTCCCTAATTTTCTTAAATTTACCAGGATTTCCACAGGCTAATGTACCATCAGTGATCATGAGCAACACAACACCACTTACTCTGTCCTCATTAAGGGTTTCTTGACATAAAAGAACTGAATGCAAACACAGTCCTAGTTGAAGGCCAACAGATCACACTGTTATGCCAACAGATCACACTGAAATACCCTTTACAGGAGACCTGTTTGTACAAGTGTAATCTCTCCAATACAGAGCCTTTCCTCTATGACTTCCCATTTGGGAAGCAGGACAGCCTTGCAGGCACAACTGCTGGAAGCTCAGGTGCCACCTACAGCTCTGGCATTGGGGAGAGGATGAGGAAGAGCCATTCCTGCTCCTCAGAGCCATGGAGCAGGTCAGGGTTAATGGCTGGGGCTGGTGCCATCACCTGAGCAGCATCCAAACCTCAGGGGAGAGGTAAGAGCAGGGAAATCTTCCAGGAGCTACAGGGGGTTCCTGCAGAGATGGTGCCAGAGGTACAGGGTCTCCTGTCCAGGGGTGTTCAAGTGTCCTTCCACCACTGAAGGATCTGGTGTCTGGAGCAGGTGGCACAAAAGTCTGTGGAACAGTTGGACAAACATCTTGTTGCTCAACTAGGTAATGAACAGCATAACATATAGGGTATGGCACAACCTCCAAGCAGCCCTCTCTGCAAAGTGTCTCTGGAAAGCAGAGTGATGGAAGATGTCCATTCCAGACCCAGACAAGCCGTACAATAAGTAAAATCTAATCCCTGCTGTGTTCTTCCCACCTCCTCTTTACCTTGTTTTTCTCATTGCTCAACATTTGTTTTGCCAGAATCAGATGCTAATAAAATCAAGCGCAGTTACCAAATTGGTTTTCAAGTGTTGCATTCCAATTATAAAAGCCTAATTCCTCCTTCCACCCACTGAACCTTTTTGGCATTAACAGGCTTTACTATGCAAAGTCATGCAGGGGCTGTTTCGTTTACAGTAATTAAATGAATGTCAATTGTTTTAGTTGTTTCTGAGGGAGAGTTCTACATGAGTATTAGCATGTTCTGCTAACCCTTACGTTCTGCACTTCAGGCCTGCTGCAAACCCTTGGGGGTTGACCATTGACCTGAGACTCCATACCCAGACATGCCAAGTGCATCTCAATGAGACTGAGCTCTTTTTCTCAGTTTCTATGGAACCAGCGGAGCAGAACTAATATAGAGCCCGCATATAGATGAAAGAATGAAGAGGAAAAAGGGCTTTACAGCTAAATTAATTAAGCAGATGTACCTGTCTAATTAAAGATGCGCTGTCCCTTTTGTACCCCAGCCGCAGTACAAACAGTATTTAAATACACTCTCTTCCCATTTCATCTATCAAAATATTTAGTAGGAACGCTCAGATGAAGGTGATATTAGCAAGATGAGCTTCCCATGTATTATTAATAGAAGGGCTCCCAATTATGCATGAATGCTACAGCATGTCTTGATAGCAATGGCATAAAAACCAGCTGCCCGAGCAGTTACCAAACAGCACATTTGTAACAGGTAGGACTGTTACAAATGCCTTGCCCAGCTGTACATGAGGGTTTGTGGCTGAGCCCTGTGCCCTGGGAGCAGCCTCTGCCTCAGCCTGGCACCAGGAGCTGGAATTTCTCACTGCAAGAGGCATCAAGGACTCAGCTGCTTGGATTTGGCTTTCTTAGATTTCAAAGATACTCTGAGATTTTTAAGATTTCCGTCCCTCAAGGCTGCAAAGTCCAACTCCCATTCACCAACCCTGCCACAGGTATTGAAAATTCTGACTTTAAAACCTCCCAAAATAACACAATATTCCCATAGCTATCCAGATAACCAGGGTCTTCCTGAAATTACTCTAGAGGAACAAGAAGGAAATTCGGCATGTACACCTCTCAGTTCTCCAAACAGACTCAGACACACACAGTTAATAACAGCAACAAAGACCCAAAGCTATTTATAGCAAGTCAGAAAAGTAATCTAAAACCAAAAGGCTTCTAGAGGCCTGTCCTCTCTAAAAGGAGAAGGCATTTGCCTCCTGCACATTCCCAGACACAGAGACTTCCAGGAGAAAGCTGAAGCTCCTCCCCATCCCCTGCTCAGGGGGAATTCACACTCACACACAAGGGAGGAATAGAGGGAGCTGTAATAGAGGCGTCAAACGCAGTTCCCCTCTGAGCCACAGCACAAATCACACCCCTTTCCCACAAGCATTAAGGATGTGCAGAATCTGAGACAGCTAAACGAATGCTGTGCCTTTCATCAGAGATTTGCCAGTTAAGAAAGACTTACCTGAGCATTTACTGCAGCCAGATCCAGCCAGAGCAAAAATCCTGAGCACCAACCTGCCCTGGCACAGCCCAGTAAGGGCAGCTACAGGCTGGGAGCTGTGCTTCCCCCAGGAAAACAGAATTAGTAACTTCTCTGCTCCTGCAGCTCGTTAGGTCCTTGATTGGGTTCTGAAAATGATGAATCTGCAGTTCCCTGTGGCTCTGGAGATCTTTTCCAGCTGTTCTGTCTTCCTGCCCAGCAGAACAGGGTGACAGGGATGGCTGGTGCTTCTGCACAGGGTTTTATCAGCATTTCTTAAGCAATCTGAGTTGACAAGGGAGTAAAAACCTCTGCACCCTGACCTCAAACACTGTGTTGTCTTTGGGGACAGTTCACTGCAGAGCTGGGAGCTTTGTTTTCTTCATTCTTTAGTGGTTGCTGGCAGCAGCCTGGGACAGAGCAGTGCTTGTGTGGTTTTAGTGGAGAGCACTGGGTGAATTAAGACACAAACACATCTAACAGCTTTAATAGTCCAGATTGGCTTCGTGGGTATTGCACAGTTAAGACAAAACCACTATTCAGAAAGAGAAAAAGATATTTGAATTAAACAGGACTTCCCTCACCACAGTGTTTCATACTTTACATCATGAAGCAAAAGCCAAAAAAATTTCCTCTAAAACCCAGTTTCTTACTCTCTGTACTTCACTCAGCCTTGGTGAGCTCCAAATTTAACACAGCTTGGCTGACTTCCTCTTCCCTTGTGATAACCTGCCACTTCAGCAACCAGACTGCAAATATTACAGGGAAAAATTTAAAATCAACTCTTCTAGAAAACATCCTTTTTAATTACAAATGTCTAAATTTCCTACATGGAAGGGGCTTAATGATACAGCTTTCTATGAACTCAAAGACAACATAAGGGTCTTGGTCAGCATTGACATAAAAGGCCTCTTCATAAAAATCCTCCAGGTCCTTGACATTCCTGTAATAGGTTTCCAGGCGCTTCTCAATATTTTCTTCCTCATCTCTGGGGTTCTGCCTGAGCCGGGCCTGGATCTCTGGGGTGGGAGCTGGTCTGAATGTGGTGTGGTACCTGGAGGTGAGAGAGAAATGCCACTGTGTCAGCCCAAGCTGAGGACACAGCAGCCATTTCCTGATACTCCATGTTTTTGCCTATCACAGTTCCTTGGATGTGCCTCTTTCTACTTTAGGATGGGGTTTTAAAACAAAGGATTCAGCAGGACAGAGGGTTCTCATCCCCAGAGTCCTGCCAGATGACACCAAAGGAATTCTGAGGGAGTTCCAGCATTGCCAGAGGCTCCCAACAATCTCTAAAAGCTCCTTTGCAATCAGGTGTTTAAATTCCCTGCCATGGGAATTGGTAATTCTGAGTAAATGCCTCCTCTGCCCTGACACAAAACCAGTTTATCCCTCTTCCTGTACAGCCAAATTTTCTGACGGTTTTGGGATAGATGCAAATGCAAGGAGAGAAGCAGAGTTTGGGTCTCTGCACAGAGCTGCATTCCAGCTGCAGCTGGTACTGGATGTGGACACAGAGTCCATTCCACAGGAGAGTCACTGAGGGCACAGCTGAAGGCCACCCTCTCCCCTGCCCTGCAGTGGTGCAGCTTTAACACGATGCCAAGGATTAGACACAGCACCTAAAACAATTCAATTCACCAGGAACTGGGGAGGAATAAACCCCAGAGTTTGGAAGAGGAAAGCGTGTTAACTGGAGCAGATACTGAGCAGATACTAATCCTGATGATAAGAAATGCAAAGATGTGTGAATGATTTGCTTCAGCCTGTTCATTTCTGCTGAACAACCACATCGCTCATTACTAAAGCAAAGAGAGCAGTTACAGCAAATCACTGCTGCTGTCACAAGTTAATGCTGCACCTCGAGTGAGATGTCTGAATAATCAGCTCTCACTTTGGGACAAATCCAGTATTTATGGCCTTAATCTTTGAGGGCTCAGTATTTGTCTTCAAGGCAGTAGGATTCAGCCTTTAGAAAAGTAAAATAGTGGTTTAAAAATTTAAGTGTGGGGAACCATAAAAACGGGCCACAAGTGAAATTGTAAATACCATTTCCAGCAGGTATTTAGGAAGATAAATTTGTTACTTGTTCCCCAAAAAGCAAGGAGGGAGAAGGCAGTAAAGCTGAAGGTCATTGGGGAGACAAGGGGATGTGATGCCAGCGAGATGAACTGCCACGTTGGAGAGCCCAACCTTCCAGTGACTCAGTGGCTCCAACGAGTTTGCTCTACTGAGCAGGAAATGTATTAATACCTCCCAGCAGACAGGACCATCACAGGAGCCTGGGGAAGTAAAATGCAGCAAGTTTTCCATTTCCCCCAGCTGGGATGCCCTCAAAACTCCCATGGGAATGTCTGAAAACCATCTGCATTTAGGCTTGGTTTCAGACATCTTCCCTCAGCATTATGTTACCAACCAATTCAGTTACCATGAAAATGTTAGACCCGAGCTATCTGCTCCTGTAGGTTTTAAATCCTGTAGGCTCCAGGATTTAAAATGCCCTGTTCTGAGAGGAGCAGCTGCTGCAGCAGGAAGGTGGGTTGGTGCTCCAGGAGCTATGAAAGTTTGAACTTTTCTTTTAAGGAATCCCTAAGCAAGAGTACAGTATTCCCTAGTTCCTGAGATTTCTATGAAGTCTACCTGGTGCTTTCATCTCACTGGCAGTCTTGAAAAATGTTAAACATGAGGCAGGAGTGCAAACCTTTGCCCAGTGATGGGATCCGTCCTCCGCTGGGACAGTCGCTCCATGATGGACTCGTAGGGCAGATTAAAGAAAAATACCCTGTGGAGAACATAAAAATTAAGTGCATTAACACCCCAAGAACATCACCTGTGACCTTCA